CACTCCAGGTTAATACAAAGGATGTAAAGTCCCCATCTCTTTTAATGGCTGGATAGTATTCCGTATGTATACTATAAGCATAGTATACATGTATACAAGTGAAATATGATTGTACATTGCCCTCCAGCCTAGATGACAGAGCAAGGCCCTATATGTAAATAAGTAAATTAAATAAATATATAAATAAAAATTAAGGAAGTAAAAGATTTCTCCAATGTTTGGTCTCTATTTCTTCACATAGTATACTGAGAAAATAGAGACTGCTATTTTCTATAATGGTTCAATTCTTTATTGTGATAGTAATGTATCATAGGCTTAGAGACCAATGGTTTTCAACCAGTGTGCCATGACAGAATCTTAGGTGTGCCTCAAACATTTTTAAAGATTATTAATTAAATTATTTTCAGAAGTTCAAAGCACAGTAAGTATATTCCTTTTTTTTAACTCTTTTTTTAATCAACATAATTAAGTGTGCCACTTAAAGTTTAACTATAGGTTCAAGTGTGCTGTGAGATTTTTAAAAAGTTGAAAAACTCTGTTATGACACTCCATAAAACCATTGGAAGTGGTTTGAGAATACCTCTGGGAAAATATTGCCGAGTTACTGACTGACTCTGCATAGAAAACAGGCTTTCATTTCTCTAAACTAGTTGTGCCATCCAAAATGTTGACATAGATGTAAGAAAGTTCACGGCAACATTGTTTATCACAGTAATTATCAATATGACAAAGACTTTCAAATAAATCGTTGATGAAACAAGTTACTATATAGTCAAACATACCAGGCAGTACTACGAATATCTTAGAACAATATTTAATAGCATTGAAACATAACAAAACTGTTGAAAGAAAAAAGTCAGATTACTGTCATCCTTTTAAAATCATATATTTATGTATATGTGAGCACTGGCTCACATAGAAAATACTCTAGCCTGTGATACTAAGATATATCTTTATTTATTTCAAAATATAAAGGGGGTATATATATATATATATATTTTTTTTTTTGCAGTTTTTGGCTGGGGCTGGGTTTAAACCCGCCACCTCCAGTCTATGGGGCTGGCACCCTACTCCTTTGAGCCACAGGCGCTGCCCAGTATAAATATTTTTATTACGTGGATACCATGCATAGTGCATTAAGTCAGTCAAAATGGATTGAAGCCTTAAATCTAAGACCCGAAACTACAAAACTAATAAAAAGAAAACAATGGAAATGTTTCAGGACTTGAGATTGGGCAAGGACTTCCTGAGTAGTACCCCCCAAAGCACAGGCAACCAAAGAAAAATTGGACAAATGGGATCATACCAAGTCAAAAAGCTTCTGCACAGGAAGGAAACCATTAACAAGTGAAGAGACAACCTACAGGATGGGAGCGAATACTTGCAAACTACCCAGCTGACAAGGGATTAATAACTAAAACAGTACATAAGGAGCACCCACAACTCAATAGGAAAAAAAATCAAATAATTTTATTTAAAAGGGGGCAAAGGATTTGAATAGCCATTTCTCAAAAGATGACATACAAATAGACAATAGGTATATGAAGCAAAATGCTCATCAGAGAAATGCAAATCAAAACTACAAAGAGATATTGACTCACCCCAGTTAAAATGGTTATTGTCAAAAAGACAATCAATAAGGAATGCTGGTGAGGATGTGGAGAAAGGGGAGCTCTCGTACGCAATTGGTCAGAATGTGAATTAGTACACACACTATTGAGAACGGTATGGAGGTTCCTTAAAAAACTAAAAATAGGACAACCACATGACCCAGTAATCCCAGTGCTGAGAATATATTCAAAAGTGGGAAATTCTACATATAGAAAAGATATCTGCACTCCCACGTTTACTGCCACACTATTCAAAATAACCAAGGTTTGGAATCAACTTAAGTGTCCATCAACAGACGAATGGATAAAGAAATTGTGATACATGTACACAATGGAATATTATATAGCCACCAAATGATGAGATCCTGCCATTTGCGATAACACAGATAGAACTGAAGACCATAGTGTTGAGTAAAGTAATCCAAGCACAGAAAGACAAATCTCACAAGTTCTCACTCATATGCGGAAGCAAATATGAAAAACAATCCTATGCAGACAAAGAGTAGGATGATGGCTGCCAGAGGCTGGGAAGGGCAGAGGGGTGAGGAGGAAAGACTGAGGATGGTTAATGGGTGCAAAAATATAGATCGATAGAACAATATCTAAGAGTACAACAAAGCGACTATAATCAACAATAAGTTAGGGTGTGCTTTAAAATAACTAAAAGTGGAATTGAAATGTTCCTAACACAAAGAAATGCATGAGGTGATGGGTACCTCGATTACCCTGATTTGATTAATACACATCTGTATCAAAACATCATGTGTATCCTAAAAAGATATACAACTATCGTGTATCCATAACAATTAAAAACTTTTTAAAAGAAGTGTTGTGAAAATTATTATATTACCTTGGACAGTCATGTGATTGGAGACGCTGATTACTCAGCTCTTTCAACTTTCTTAGAACTGAGTTTGAAAGCTGAGTGATAATTTTAGGTAATGAACATTTATATAGAGCTACCTATATGTCAGAAACTGTGCTAGGCAATTTACAAATATCTATTAAATCCTCATAATTACTCTAAGGTTATTCCCATTAATAAAGGTGAAGAAACTGAGGCAGGGAGAGGTTAATTCGTTTGCTCAAGACCACACAATGAGTAGGGGATGAAGGTGGGACACCACCACGGGCAATGGGATGAAAGGCCATGCTTTTACCTCCTACACTGTGGTGGCCACCAACTAAAACATTTAGTATTTCACAAAGACACAACCACCCTTGTTAATTTATTTGAAACCATTATAAAATTGAACATTCAAGAGTCTGGACAAGATAGCATACTAATTCAGGCCACTATTTCCTCCTACAAATGTAATTCTCATGTTCTCACAACAGAGGGAATCCAATTTAAAATTTGGAGGTCTCTGGAGGAGATGAAAAACAAATGAATTCCCAGTTGGAAAGAAAGAACAGCCCAGTAATGGATCCTGTCATCAGTACCTCAGAGTGGGTGAAGGTGAGACATTATACATAGTCACTATGAAAGTGAGACAGGCTATGTTACGGTCTATTATTTCACTTCCAAGAAACACAGCCAGCAGCATCCTTTCTGATCTATCTGTGCAATTTTCAACTTGCTGGGCTCATTGGTGTTGCTGGGAGGGCTTCATTTGTTTCTGTGTAGGTTTTGTGGTTCTTAATTTTCAAGTAACTCAAAACTTTTATCATGACCCACGTACACATATCCCTTGCTCATTCTTCTTCCCTCAACGCTTTGCACATTGATAGCTCAAAAGAAGGTAGCAGAAATAATTTCTTTGCACGGTTACTAGATGTAGTAGCAATTCAAAAATATTTCATAAGTAAAAGAAGATATCAGGGAAAGAACGTGGTGAGAACAAGAATAATGGCATGAGTTCATCTCTGAGGCACATTCTGGCTGTGACAAGTGCTGAGCCTGGGGGATTTTCACAGGTACTATGGTGAGTTTTGGTAAAGCCAGTCCTTAGGGCCAATCAACCCTTCCGTTTCTCCACGTGTTATGACTTCTTCACAGAAGAATAGATGACTTCAGGACCCTGGGAGGGAAGCAGAAGGAAGGGCCTAAGTCAACAAGAGAAGGAACACAGTGGGGGGAAGGAGGGATAGAGAGCTTCCCAGGAGTCCAGCTCACCTTGTTCTCCAGAAAGGGCCTTCTGGTGTTTGCTGTGGAGAAAAAATAAATAGTGCTGGGCTCTTCAAGATCCTACTAGAACTCATGCCCAGGCCTTACGCCACTGGGCATAAAACTGCTTAAAGTGTGTGGAATTCCATCTTCTCCTGTTGTTCTGCAAAATCCTCTCTCAATGCTGCATATTCTGAAGTCTCTCTCAGACTCTACCCACTCTCCAGGCCTCCACCAGCACTTACTGACAAAGCCCTGCTTCCCTGGATCCAGCTTCCCACGGGCCGCCATCCTTATAATACAGTTTTTCTTCCTTAGCCTCTCTGCCAGGGCTCACTGTGTGTTGGTCCTCTATGTTTCTGAGATAACCGACCCTGGATTGCTCACCACAGATTAAAGGTCACCCGGTAATTTGAGTCTGGCTGCAGGGGAGGCGTAGCGATATCTGCTTCTGTCCCCCTCTTTCCAGGTGTGCGTAGTGGGGCCGAATCTCCTTCCCTCCCTAACTTCAGATCCTAACTTGGAGGAACTGAGGGGCTGATTAGCCCTAAGGGTGGGCATCACTGAAACTCAGACCTAGATGGCCTGAAAGATAAGCACCCAGTGAAGCTGAATCTACCTTCTTGATTCTGCTGGACTGCTTACAGATGAGAACGACAGAGTAACTAACTCCACAGGAAGTAGTGCAGGGGCACGTCTCAAGGCAAGGCTAGTGGAAGCCCCAGATTCTGAGGCTCAGAGGAAAGTAGCCAGATGACCACTGACCAGGAAACTGGCTGAGCTGCCAACAGCCACTGACTCTGTTACAGGCAGCTGGAAGCAGAGACCCAAGGGCGGCTTTTAGGCTTGCAGTGTCAAGGGCACTCGAACACTACTATAGAATTATCTCAGTTCCTGCACAGCCACATGTCAAACTGAAAATTGTCTAGGTCAGGTTGGCTGACTGAGTGATGCTCCCATCCTGTGCCAAGACTACATGTCCTTTCAAAGAGGGACTTCAGTGCTTCTCCTCCATGGAGAGAATTCCTCCTGGACTGTAGATACCCTCACTCTTGCCTGATTCCCTCCCCTGCCTAATATCTCAGCTTCTCCCTGACTTTCTAATCCCATTCAAAACAACATCCATTGGACCATCTGCCTACTTATTTTTTTTTGTTTAGCTTCTCCACAAAAGCCTGCCTCCAGGCATCTCCTGTTCCTTCTTGGACTGAAACCTCCAGTGCACAGAATGCATCACTCTCCTGGGAAGACACATCGAACAAGAACCACTTTCTACTTCTCACCCGGTCCTTCTGCCTGCTGGATGCTCCAGACCTTGGAGTAGATCACATCCATGTCCACTACAGGGAGAAGCCAAGAGTTCACAGAGGTTGGTGGCCAAGTGATCAAGCACCATACATAGCTCCCCAGCTCCCCTTGCCTCATGACTGCATCCTCCCTCCCAAACCTATCATGATTCCAGGGAAATTATTTATTTATTGGGAGTGACTAGGCCTTGGGGGTTGGAGTGTAGAACATTGCATGGTCTCTTCTCCTGACCCCACTTCGCTCTCTGCCTCAGCCCCACTTTCCTCCCAGTGGAGAGACTCACCATTGACATACTCTGGCTGCAGATCCTCCAGGGCTGGGAGTGGGCTGGAGTGGGTGGACTCTGGAGGGTTTAGGCTGGAAGCACCTCTGTGAGAAAGTCCCCAGGGTAGTGAGTGAGAACAGAGAACAGAGAGACTGAAGGGAGAGCGGTGGGAGCCAGGCAGGCATATGACTGTCCACTTGGGTGACTTAATGGCCCTTTGTGTTATATACCATCTTCTCTAACTTGGTCGATCAAGACGTTCTGCTCTGTATCTTTGACTTTTTCAAAAGTTATAAATAAGAAATGATATTGCCTCACATTCATTCACCTAGAGTAATGTGGACCATCCTAAAAAGTGCTCTGGTGCCATAAATGGAATAGATTAGAGACATAAGTAAGCATTATAGGAAGAGGCTATATAAACAAATGACCTTGATTCCTCTGCACAGACAGAATAGTAACAGGTATTTACTACTATAAATGAAGGAGGCCTCCAGAGTTGAAATTTTCACTAGGAAGTGTTCTCACCTGAGTGCATTAGTAGCAGAACTTTCTCCTGGAAAAAAAAAATAAAAGAACATTCATTTCAGGAGAAGAAGCTTTGTTTCTTAAAGTTTTTATATGACTTAACTGTGATCATCAGCTGGTAAGATCTAAGATATAGAAGGTAGAACAATTGTCTTCCATCCCAATGGCTACTTATTTATTCCAACACTATCACTGTATTTTGAGATGTAAAATATGTTCTAATGTGCACTCATGTTTCAGCCCAAACTTTCAGGAAAATGTCCCTGTAGAAAGTGGCCAGCTCTCAGCCCAGAAAGACACATCTGGAGAGGGCTAATGCTCCTCTGGTTAAATGTGAAGACCACAATGCCCTCCCACAGCTGCCCACTTTGTGAAAACTTCTCCTTCCTTCTCTCCAGGGAGCCCTCCCCTCCCTGCCACGTGATGATGGGGAGGCAAGATGGCCACATGGGGCCAGTGAGGTGGGAGTGTCTGAGGCTGCCTGGCCCACAGGCAGCCAGGGGGGTTCCTGGGGCCTGCACTACGCCCCAGTAGCCTCTGCGTGACTGCAGCCTACCTTGCCAGCCCCACCACTGCCTCCTCCCTTGATCACAGTCCTCAGCAGAGGCCCTCTGACCTGCTCCCACCAGATCCCAGATACCGGTTCCCGGACTAGAACCTCATGGTCCTGGTGGGCCCAGGCAGGAGGACGCAGCCTAGGAGGCCTACTGTGCTCCATCACTCTTGAGCTGCACTGGCTATACATCCTTACTTTTCTCTCAAAAATTTGGGCAAAAAAGTGCACATTATACACAGCAAAGTAGAGTACTTATTAGTAGAATAATTCATTTTTTCCCACTGATGTGAAATGTGACTTCAAATGGCAAACTCTGCATGCATTGACCACTGTTTCTGGATGTGTTATTTTGTTCTATTGTCTCTTTGTCTATCCATGTACCTATTTATTTATGAGGAAATATAATATACTTTAACTGTTAATGGCTCTAATTCTGTTTTACTATTCTTCTGTTTGAGACTTTACATGACCCTGATTAATTTTTGAATGTTTTGTTCTTTACAACACCTTGTCAATAGCAGTAGCTTTGGGGGTAGTTTGCTATTAACATTTATAAGGCACACAAGACTATCTCTTTAACCATTTAGCACTACACAGAGATGTAGAACAAGAAACACCAAATATCAGCCTAGATGTATCAGCTGTATCTTCAGAGGGAATTCTCATAGTGGCCCAAGAGATAGTTTTCCAGCCCTCTAGTTAATAGCCCAGGAAACATAGATGAGCATCGTGGCAACCCTGGCTCAAAAGCCTTATGCTTCTTAGAAGTCAATACCTTCTGTAACACTCAGGAGTGTGTGAGTGTACCTTCCAGAGGTCACCACTGCAAGAGACATGCTCCATAACAAGAGTTACCTTGCACTTGTGAATCTCCCATTTTGCTTCCCACCAAGCATTTGCAACCCTAGTCAGAGTGCTCCCAGTTTCAATGCCATTTACCAACCATGAAAAACATGCTAGTCACATAGTCAACATTCCGACTTTATTGGGTTTCCCAGAAAACAGTGCTAGTAGATTAACCTTAATTTCCCAAGGAGAAGTAAAATTTTATAATTTTCTTGTTTAGTTTCCAAGAAAAGTAATGACCTCAGAATTTTCTACCAAGCCAAACTGTCATTCGAGCGTAAGAAAAAGAGGCAAATATATCCCAGCATGCAAAAGGTCAGTGTACGTGTTTCTAACAACTTATTGAAGAAATTACTTCAAAATTAGACATTAGCCAGCAATGGTGGTTCACACCTATAATTCTAACACTTTGGGAGGCTGAGGCGAGTAGATCACTTAAGCTCAGGAGTTTGAGACCAGCTTGAGCAAGAGCAAGAGCAAGACCCTGTCTCTACTAAAAATAGAAAAACTAGGTGTACATGGTGGGTAGTCCCAGCTACTTGGGAGGCTGAGGCAAGAGGATAACTTGAGCCCAAGAGTTTGAGGTTTGTGTGAACTATGATGTCACAGCACTCTACCCAGGGTGACAGAATGAGACTCTGTATCAAAATAAAATGAAATAAAATAAAGTAATAAAATAGATTTTAGCTTATTACCTAAGCACTCTTGACTAACAAAAATTGAAGATATATTGATTCACAAATGCATTCCAAAAAAGTACATATTGTACAAATAATATTCTCAGATCACCATGGCACTGGTAATTCACAACAAAACTATGGAAAAAATCTACATATGCCTATTCCATAAATTTAAAGGAAGCAAGTCTTAAGCAATTGAATACATATATAAATATATAAGAAAAAGGAAAGACAATTAAATATCCAATTTGTTCAAAAGACTAAGGCCAACAGAAACAAAAGGCAGAAAGTTAACAAAGATAAAATTAGAATTCTAGAATCAGAAAGCAGAGCTGGTAGAACAAACACTACTTCTGAGAACTCCACAGTACTGGAGATAGAGGTATTCTCTTTCGAGATGATCACACCTCATGGGCATGGCTCCCAACTCCTTGAGGTAGACATTCCTGGATTGCAAAACTGGTGAGAGGCAGGGAGAAGATTTATATCTCAAAGAGGCAGAGAAAGAATTTTCAGTTGCAAGTTTTCCAAAGTAACACTTTAAGAAAAGGGAGGTGACGACCTCTGGGCAGGCTGAGAACATCGAGGCTGTCTTGCTCAGGGAGAAGGGACCAAGCATGGCTACACACCTGAGGAATCTGGAGGATTCCCTCACATCTAAAGCACTAGGACACAATACAATCTTTTTTTTTTTTTTGACACAATACAATCTTGCTGGAAGTGACACATCATCACAGTTGTAAGCTTCATTGATAAAAGGTGTTGCATACTCACTTTCACAGTTGCTTCTGGAGCCTGAGCCAGCGTGTGTCAGAAGTTGGACTCTCCTGGGGTCCTTGTGCTGTGACCTAGAGGTCAGCCATCCAGGGGTGGGAGCCTGTGGCCTCGGGGCCACACATGGCCCTCCAGATCCCCCACTAACTCCAAATTTTACAGAACAAATCCTTTAAATAAAGGGATTTGGTCTGTGAAGTTTGGATTTGGTCAAAAGGCCTCACTCAAAAAATTCAGAAAATCACATGTGGCCCCAAAGCCAGCTACAGCCAGCATCAGCCACCAGCTACAGGGTGGAGAGGGCTCCCTATGATCCACATAATAGATCCAAGAATGAAAAGGGGAGTTGGTGCTCCCATCACGAATAGGGTAACCAACAAGAAATGGATAAACAAAATGGAAAACATCGCACTGAAATGTTCTAGTTCCTTTCAATGTAGTCCCTCATTACATTTTACTCCATTGTGTCTGTTGAAAATTATTAAATGGCATTTAATAATTCAACTTTTTAATTTAAAAGGCACACATGGAGGAATGTGTTAGCATTTTAACCTGATATTTTGCACACAGGGACAGTGACACATTGTGAAATAGTAGTGTGGCCACATTGCTGTACGGAAAGGGCGGCATAAGAAGAAATTATTGGAGTTCGGAAGGTTCTCCTTCCCGTCTCCTTTTCTTTTGTCTCGCTATCTAAATCAGTCATGGAAAAGGTCATAGCAAAATAGGGAAAACGCAACAAACCTGCAGGGGATACCAACCTGCTGTCTTGTGGGACCACCAATAAAACAGCAGAGCCACACCAGTGAAACCCAGGACGCCAAACAGTCCCCCCAGAACTTTGGCTGTGACAAGGTCTCTTCGATAGCCATTAGCCCCTGAGGGGAGAAACCAGGGCTTCAGTCCGGGAGAGTAGAGATGTGGCCCCTTTGATCAATACTATGAGGGAGTGGGAAACACAAATCCATGTGCAGGACATTCTCAGATGGTCCATATACTTCGGGTTACTATGGTGAGAAGAAAGCAGCAGTCTTGGGGGTCCCCTTCCCACCTCCCCACATGACAGACTTCTCCCAGAACACCTCTGTCTGTTGAAACCCCAACATGACACCAACGAAAGCTGCTGGGACAGAGCTGCTCGTCATACTCCGTATGCAGGTACTGAGGACCCACCTGAGATGGGGAGTGTCACCACCTCATTGCGCTGGGGCTTCAGGCCATTGTCAGCCTCAGAGGAGTAGTTTCCAAAATGTTCTGCAGTCAGAGAGAGGTTAAAGGATGCTTCTCCTATAGAGGGGGCTGAGCTATCCCCCAAGATGATATTTTCATCATAAAATGGGTACAGGATAGGGGGACAGCCTCTTGGGGCCTCACAGCAAAGCTCCACCACATCCCCCACCACAGCCTGAGCCCTGGGTGCCCTGAGGGTGAGGACAGGGTGGGACACCGGAACTGAGGGACAGAGAAGGGCCATCAGAGAGAATCTGTGATGCTGAAGTAAATCCCTAACCTCCTATTTTAAGGTCTCAGCAAAGAGCCTGGGCCCTTGGGTGCCGAGTACGCCTCCCATTCTCACATCTGTGCTGGAGCGATCAGAGGTAAGCTTCTCAGTGGTGTGTTTAGAAATGTGGGGGGAAGGTCAAGCACTATCTAGAGACATGGTCATTTGTTGTTTGCATCTTACTTTTTCCCTTGTACCTATCTAGCCCTCTTTATATTTCTGCGGAAAGAAAGGTGCCAGCAGGCTGACTTGCAAGGGCAGCTCGGTTTCAAATTGCTTTTAGTTCTCCGCAGCACTGAGCCCTGGGACCTCCTGACATTTCCACGTGACCTGGGTACAGTGACCTTGATTTGGAATTTCTGGTGGAGTCGGATGACAGTGTAACTCACCTCTCACAGGGACAGTCACCGCCTTGCTCTGGATGGGACCATAGCCATTGTCAGCTGTACAGTAATAGCCACCTGAATTGCTCTCCTGCACAGCTGGGATGCGCAGCTCGGCAGTCAGAGCGTGCTGGGTCTTCTTTCCCACTCTGGCCCCTGTGGTCTGTCTGTGCCAGGAGAATGTGATGTTTCCTGTGGCATCAGCCACGGAGCACAGCAGGTCTAACGTTTCTCCTTCAACCGCCTGTCCCCCAGGGACCAAGGTCTCCAAGCTTACGTTAGAAACAGGGATTCCTAGATGGGTATGAGATAGCAGGTGAGAATTCGGATTACGTATGGGAAGCTCTGGGGATGGGGGCAAGCTGAGCCCACTCCCTTCTGCAGGGGAGATTGGGGACCCTATACGTGACCGCTCATGATATTCCTGCCGGTAGAGAATCCATGATTTGTGGATACAGATACTTGTCTGTTCTAACCCCGATCCTGCTGGATTTCATGGGTAGAGATCTTGTAGGAATTTGTCATGGATCATCCACTCCATAAGACAGGCAATTATTTATTCATTTATTCATGTATTTATTTATTTTGGGGTGAGTCACTGTTCAGACAGATGTCTTTTGTACAGAATGAAGTGGTACACTGGTAGCATCGGTCCTACCTGGGAGAAGATATTGTTCCTGATAACAATCCTTGCTACACTTAATTTCTCTGTCATTCTCAGTTTCAAGGCTGAACCAAATCACTGCCCTCCTCTGACCCCTCTGTCCACTCTACTCTCCGCGATCCCTGCGGCATCGAGCTACATGAGCTGTGGCTTCACGCCACCGCCTCACAGGTTGGTCTGTGCTGCTCACAGAGCATATGGAGCCACTGGGGATCAGAACCTGACCTTTCAAAGTCCCCAGGCCACTACTAAGGGCCAAAGTACCCAGCTGGTGAATCAATGACTTGACTTAACTAGTAAAAAAGAAAAAGCTTAGAAGGAGCTTATTCTTGTGAAGAAAGATGCCAGGTGTTATCTGAATTTTTCTAGCTCAGTTCCCGCTTTCCTCAGGAGTTTCACAAAGAAACAAAAAGCCCAGTGGTGCAGCTGAAGCCATAGCACATCTCTCTCCTGCCTGGGCTCAACCCCATGGGCACTTACTCTGTACATGTATCTGGGATGCGCGGCTGTGTTTTCTGATGCTGTGGGTCGGAGTCTCTGCCTCACACCAGTAGGACCCTGAGTCTTCCCTCCACACAGCAGGGACCAGGAGCTGTTGGGAGTTATTCCAGCCTGACCCAAGGACCCTGCTATCTCTGAAGAAACGGAACTGGAGCTGGACCTGTGATCTTGATGGATGGAGCTGGGTCTCACAGGTCAGGGTCAGTGGACCCCCCTCGATGGGCTGGAAGGAGCTGGCCATCAGCACAGGATGTTGAAATAGTTCTAAAGAGAAGGATCACAAAAGTTCCCAGAGCAGTAAGATCCAGGTTCTTTCTAAAAAATCTTCAGAGAGAAGCATCCCCAGGACATTCACAGCCAGACACATATCACCCACCAGAGCTTCCTTGCTGGTCAAACCATAGAGATCTGGTCAGTGGGCAGCTTTCCCCTACCAGGTACCCACTCTACTGTGCTGCTGGTCTCCCTCCCAGCCCAGCCCGAAGGGGTAAAGATCTTACCTTGAACTTTGATACTGACTTTTTGTGAAGTATGTTTCCATCTCACGATTCCTGCTACAATAGTACAGTAATAGTTGCCACTGTCGCTCACATTTACATTTTGGATAGAGAGAACTGAGACTTTTTTAAAGCTTGATAGTTCTTTTTCATCCTTATAGTATGTCATCGTCTTTAATCTTCTGATCTTTTCTTTCTGGCATGACAGAGCTATTCTATCTCCTTCAAAGATAGGAGGGGGCTCCATTACCATCAGCGAGACTGCAAAAGAGGGAGGGAAACTGGATTTACCATTTCTGCAGAGAAGCCAAACGCTGACCTGCTTCCTTGGCAGTGAAATGCTCAAAGGGGGCATGGCCTCTACATCTTCAGACAAGGCAGAGGTTCCGACCCATGCTTTAATTACCCATGGTTGCACCCCATTTTTCCCATGGAGATATCTTAGCTGGGGCTTCTGTAACAAAACACCATAAACCAGGTGGCTTATCAACAACAGAAATTCATTTCTCATAGTTTTGGAGGTTAGAGGTCAGGGTGCTAGCATTGCCAGGTTCTGGGGAGGGCACCTGCGAGGTTACAGACTGCAGATGCTTCATCATATCCTCACATGGTAGGAAAAGAACTAGCCAGCTCACTAGCCTCTTCATATAAAGACTTGATTCCCATTCATGAGGGTTCTACCTTTATGATCACCTCACCTTCAAACACCATCACTTTGGGATTGGAGTTTCCACATACGAATTTGAGGGGCACATAAATAGTCTATTGAAGAGGGAGTCAAAGAGAACACAACTTATTACACGAATAGAGGAGTGTTCTCCTAAGGCACCTTATGCTTAGCCCTCTCCACTGGTGGCACCAGACAGGGGACCCTTGTCTTCAGTGGGCATGTTACTTTCCCATCCCCCGTGGCATCCTCCAGCCCTCAGAGCTTCACACCGTCTAGGAATTCAGATCCACCTTTTCTTTTTGCCTCAGTAGGTAAACCCCCAAGTGGTCTGGATTACTGAGGAATAAGCCAGTTACTGGAATTAGGTCCAATATCTTTCATTCTCATAACTTCCCACTTGAATGCTTTTGGAAATTTTCACTCTCATCCAATGTATAATGAAGTGGAGAATGTACCTGAGAGACTGATCACATGGAGAGCAAAGTCACTGCCTATGACAAGTGTCCTCACCAGGGGCTGTTTCCTGGGACTGCCTACAGGTCCTCTGATTTCTGCCCTGCCACTTTACTCATTTATGGTATCAGACTATGTCCTGCCCTTATGACATAACCATTATATTTTTAGGTTATAGTTGAGGATTTTGACCTCAAGGTGGGGAACCTCCTTAGACCTCAAATAAAATCTCCCTATCACTACTCAATCGTATTATGATGGTCAGAATTTGGATGTGTAGTGGAAGGAAAGAGATACCCATCACCTAAGACGTGCTGGCTCCTAAAACACCACTGTGGGGCCACAGCCCAGACACTACAGATGACTTATGGGATTTGGAATCCTAGCTTTTGGGAAAATGTATACTTTGCTACTGGCTACTGTAGGAGAATTGGCATTACCTGTTGGATGTTGTGGGGGGAGGTATCTGTTTTCTAATGAAGTTAGAAAGTGAGTTGCAGAAACAATTCAGATTTTTGCCCTCCTTCACAGATGGAGGTGAGATCACATGGGAATTCTGTTGTGGGACTAGCAATCAAGCCAAATTTTAAGCCCCTAGCACAGTCTTCATCCAAAAATGGAAAAGTTTCTTGGGGAGAATACCATCTGTCTGCGATAGGAAGGGAGGGAGTCATTGTTAGAAACTCTGTAAAAGACACCTGGTTGTAGTTTTTGATCAAAGCCATTCTCATTGGGGTTGGGTGTTGTCTCGTTGTGGTTTTAATTTGCATTTCCCTGACAACTAGAGACAATCCTGAGCATTTTGTTCATATGGAAGAGGAAAGGAGGGGAGGGGTAAATCGCACCTAATAGGTACAATGCCTGTTATCTGGGTGATGGGCACACTTATATCTTTGGCTCAAACTATACAAAAGCAATGCATGTAGCCAAACATTTGTACCCCCAGAATATTCTGAAACTAAAATAAATAGATAAATAAAATAAAATTACAAATTAAATCTCACAAAATATTTCTTATTAAAATTCTTATTAGTAAATAGTAGAATTTTTATTAGTAAATAAAGGGACTAGTCAAGAAAAAAAGAGAATAAAACGAAAGAAAAGAAAACAAGGAACTTGATGGTCAGCCTCACAGGCCCTGGGCTCCCTAAGTGGGTCATTGGGGTGTCTCTGCTTGTGAAGAAGCAGACAGCCCAGGGGGGAGGCACAGGTTGAGAGCACCAGGAGTGGTCACTGAATCCAAAACTGAAACCAGAAGGTGGGAGCAGGTGGGGAGCTGACTGCTGTGTGGGGAACCCTCTGGGGAGCAGAGCTGGAGGGCCCAGAGGTGAAGTAGCTGAGAGTGCAGTCTTGCCAAGGGCCACAAAGGGCTTTTCTCAGCACTCAGAATGTTTAACTTAGCATGGAAGAGCCGGATCATGTTGTTTTGATTCTGAGTCTGTTATTAGCTGTGACCTCAAACAGGCCTCGACTCCCTGTACCTCGATTTCTCACCTGAGAAATGGAACAATAGCAAGGATTTGCCTCCTGTGAGGGTGTTTTAAGGATCCCATGAGGCGAGCATTTACGTGCGCTTGCCAACACGGACCGCTCAGGGATCGCACAGCCTCAAGCAGAATGTCCTCACTGCTGAAACTAATAATGACTGAGAAAGAGTAAGAGGCCACAATAACAGGCTTCCACCCGTGAGACAGGGTGGACTTGGGACCCTGAAGAAGTGAAAGTGACTTGAGGTCAAACCTTCTAGCACAACATCCTAGGGGTAGACGCAGGTTGGTCCAAGTCTTCCGCCAGAGAGCCCTCAGTCAGAACAGGCCTTGCAATGGAGCGTGCATCCACTTGCTCTCAGGGTGGCTGTGACCATCAGATGCCACTTGCTAGCAGATGGGAAGCCTCAGCAGAAGTGTGCTGGATCCACATTAGCTGCCGTCATGACCCAACCTCAAGGTTCTCATCTGTGCACACTTAGAGCAGAGTGACAGGAATCGGAGGCCTTAGAGAAGCAGGGCGAGGGAGACCTAACACTGACTCACTGGTCCTCAAGGAGCTCCAGATCCTCCAGCAAGAAGATGGATGGGAGAAGCCACAGCCAGGCAGGAAGGGCTGTACCTGCAGAGGCCACCACCAGATCTTGCTGACCCCCAGAAATACAGACCAACTGAACTGGGAGGATGATGGTAGGAGGCAGGACAAAGGTCGGGTTATGAAACCTTTGGGTTGAGAAAATCTAGGTGCAAGATGCATAAAGCTGAAGAATTTTTTTTAAATAAAAGTTAATGAAAAATATCTTTACCAGAGCAGCAGCAAAGCAAAAGGCAAATGACATTTCTCGGAGGGCTGCACTGGACGCACATCCTGGCAGGGGTGGGGGGGGCAGCTTGCCTGTGGGTGGGGTAGAAGGAGGAACCTGGAGCGTGCCCTGGCAGGGGTGGGGAGGGCAGGGCTTTCAGCTGCTGAGCTGAGGGCATTTTCACACCTTGCAGTGGAGTGAATTCTTAACAGGCCAGAGACTTTTCACAGGAGAAAAGATGGGTCCAGAGGCCAAGTGTACACAGCAGGTATACAGCAAAGCCATGATTTGAATCTGGTCTTTCATGATGTAACTAACTCCTGTTCTTTTCATGACCTCATGCTGAACCCTTTCATTCTTTTTTGAAAAGGAGAGATCTCAACATTCTGGAAAATTCCCAGCTTTCTGAGAAGCTCTTGAGCAGGGAGGGGGAAGGAAGTAAAGTGGCTGGGGGCCTGTCCTCTCAGTCATGGTAGGTGACTCACTTCTGGAGCCTGCCCCCACTACCTGAGGCTGAGTAACAGTGCGATTCCCACACCCAGCCTGAGACCGCCCAGGTTTCCTGTAGTTTCTCTCCAGACAGGAAGGGAGCCTATGCGAGTCACACACTGTTGGGCCTGGGGACCACATGTGGGCAGATGGATGCCAGAAGCCACCATCCTCTCCCCTCCCAGGGCTTCCCTACACCTCCCACCCCCATCAAGGTGAGATAAGGCCTGCTGATCCCAACACAATTTCTTCGAGTCCAAAGAGCCCCTTCCACTTGGTGCTCAGCACTGAACAGGCAAGGGAACAATCCTCTTTCTTTAGATTTAGTCTTGGCTTACATGGAAGTTCTCTGTATGGAATAAAATATTGTTCTCATTTACTCCCTTTACTGAACTCAGCTTTAAATCAAAAAGGGTAAGATAAAATTAGTTTTAGTCAAATGAACAAAGTAACCCACAATTTTTTAAAAAATCACAACTAAATAATGAATCTAGTGCAGGGGTTGCAAACTGGGGCCTGTAAGCCAGTGGGCTACCTGCTTTGGTAAATAAAGTGCTCCTGGAGCACAGCCAGTACCTGCTAATGTACAAATGGTCTGCAGTGGCTTTCCTGCTACAGTGGCAGTGCTGGGTAGTTACAGAGGAGACCTGAAAAGCCCAAACTATTTACTCTCTGGCCTGTTACAGAAAATTTACTGACTCCTGATCTAGAGCTGGAGAGGCAGTGGTGGCACGTGTCTTTTCTGGCTATGTAGAGCTGTGCAGCCCTGAGAGTTTTCCTCTGTGGATAACTGTTTTCAGAGCTTGAGGAAATTCAGTATAGTCCTAAGGGCAGGGAAACAATTCTGTCTAAATTGCCGAGTCTGCACGTCTTCTTTCCGACATTATTCCCCTCCCACCTGGACTTGTAACGGAGAGCAAGTGTCTGGGGTCTTGACAAGGCTGGGCATGTGACCTCAGAACATGTGGGCCCAGGGGCAGTACACTTGGACCTCTCCATTGTCTCTCTAGGGCCACTTCTGCAGGGCCCCGTGGTGGCCATGTGGCTGACATATAGGAGGACAGACAGCAACAAGGACAGAAGGGACTCACCTGCCTGTGCGCTGGCGGGGCCTGTAAGGGACCAGAAGTCAGAGGTGAGCACACAGCACTTGCCCTCAGAATCCAGAAGTTTGTGTTACTCTGATAAAATTGCCCCAAACCTTCTCTCCATCTTTTTCTTCTTTTTGACTCCCTTAGTCCCTCATCACCAGCAAGGCAACTTCCCTCAAGCACATACCAAACCCTCGCTCCCTCTGCCAGCACAGGGCAAATTGCAAACCCATTTCTGGACCAAAGGGGTTAACAGGAATATCCACATTGGATAGTTAAAGATTCTTCCTTTCTTTTCATTTTCCTTCCCCTTCCCCACCATTGTCCCTCACACCCAAGCTTTTCAGCGGTGGACTCACTGCTACGTGACAAAGCCCTCACGGACGGTTCACCAAGGAACACACACAGTGATCAGGA